AAAGTATCAAGATACTTTTTGAAGGTAACTGTATCTGTAACTAGTTACTGCAATAAAATATGTATCTGTATCTAGTTACAAATTTTGGTAAGTAACTGTAACTGTAGCTAGATACTGAAAATATTGTAACTGTTACAACACTGGTTAGGAACATATAAGATATTTTATGTAAAAAAGAATTAATATTTTTAAACTTATTTGACTAATTTATTGTTGTTGTTGATAACCTAAAATTTTTAAATAACTTGTACTATAAATAAATTTTACAATATTTACTGCAAGTTTTCCAAATCTGCAAACACAGTTTTCACTTTTTTATGATTTTCAGATATTTTTCTCGACTACGTGTTTTTGCAGAAAGAAAAGAATGTTTGTAAACTAATTTTTTAGTGGATTGTTCTATAAGTGAAGAAAAGTGATAGCTTTCTAGTGAGTATACAAAAAAGACCAAGGATCGCTACGAAAAAAAATATCAATATCAAGCACTTCAAATTTGGCTCAACAGAAAAAATGTGAAGAGAATAAACGAAGATGTTTTACTCTGCTACGAGTATCAGTGTTGCCACTCCTATTACTTTAGTAATAGATCTGTTACTTTTAGCGAAAATATATTACCCTATTACGAAACGATGTAAATCTATTATTTTTTTCTTTCCTAGTAGGATTTTTTTTTAATATTCTATTGTGGTCCTATTGGCAACTTGCCAGACAGCCCACAAAAGATTATTGTCGCAGCGCATCAAAACTATTGTAAAATTAAATTTTTCCTGGTTTTTATAATATAAGTGTAATAAATGTTGTTTATTATTAAAAAAAAAATTAAAGAGTTAATTAAAATAAACTTATTGTTTATTCAAAATATAAGATTTTGTTAATATTGGGTAGTTTTATTCCCTTGTGCAATTTGATTTACATGAAATTATTGTACATTTTATCTTACATATGATTTCGTACATTGTAGGTACGTATAATTATAATCGTACAAAAAGGATAATTATTCTTTCTATAGAAAATTATCGTATGTCTGGCAACACTGCTTGAGTGTTTGACGTTTGTTGTGTGCTTAAATTTGTGTTTATTAAATTTTTTATTAAAATAGCATAGCACAGATCATAAAGCATCATGTAAAAATTCAATTTTATTCTAATCACAACGGTAGAACGTCAAAGAATCAAAAAAATTTTATTTAAAATAGTCTATTACCTTAAATCCCAAATCTATTACATTTTGACGCATGCGTCTATTACGAAAAAAAAGTTATAGGTGGCAACACTGACGAGTATGTGTCTGAGCTATAGTAAAGTTACAAGCCCAACACTTTATGGACAAAATTTTCGATTATTAAAACGTCTCAAACTACAGGAAAAAATGGACATTTCTAAGTAAGTATTACGATTTCCTTCTTGTTGATGAACTAATTTAAATGATTTTACAGATATGGAAAGCTTTTCACATTATTGAACAGAAAGTCGAAACGCTACACACCAAAAAAGCTATGATGTTGTCAGCAGAGCAAATAACGCGTTTTCTTTTGGAATCTTCGAACAGTCAATTTTTACTAGAAAAAATCGTAGGAATTTTTGGAGATTGCCACCGCGAGGAAATTGTTTCCTTGACAACTGATAACCAAAGGCCCTTAAAAATTCGAAATAAAAACAATAAAAACCTACATTATAGGCCGTTTTAGGCCGAAAGTGACTAAAATAGGCCTCAACCGACTAAGTCAAAGTTGGCTTTAGCCATCCATCTATTGTCTTTATAGAAAAACCACTTGTAAAGTGTGGAATTATTTAATTATGCCATAGATGGCGACAAATTATATTACTAAAAACTGTTAAAATGTCTGAAATTACCATATATGTAATACATATATGAAAATTACAGTAAAACGTATGAAAACAAATTAAATAATAATTTTCAACCATTATTACACAATTACTTTTTTTATTAGGTTTTCAGTAGTTTTGTAATTTGTGGTCCTCGTACTCGCCAAGGGCGTCTAGGCGAAATAAGAGCATGAAAGCAGGGTCTAATTAAAAAAAATTTACTTTTCCGCAATAAAAAATATATTTTTTACTAAAAAATTAAAAGGGCCTATTTTAGGCTTATAATAATGTCCTTTCAGGACAATAAATCAAAATTTCGCCATTTTAGGCTTTTAGGCAAAAACAAAGGGGTGTCAAACGCTTTATTTTATTAAGTTTAGGATTAATTTCAAGGTCCCAAACAAATGCCTAAAATAGAAACAAAAAGGCATTTTGCCTAAAATCCGGTCCTTGCTGATAACATTTAAGACGTTGGACGCTTTATAATTGTGAAACAAAACAAAACAATAAATGTTCCCTAAAGTTCACTATTATAGAAGACGATACTCTCTCTAAAAATGAATTACTCAAAAATGGCTATTGTCAAAGCTAAAAGGCAGCCACTAATAATTATTGTCAATAGCAATTTGCATCCCGAACATTTAGTAGTCAATTTTCATGTAAAATTGTCCCCTGAATCCGAAAATGTCGTTAAAAGTTATAAAAGTAAGACAGTTTTTGAGATATAGTCAATTTTCCAAATGATTTGAAATTGACTATATCTCAAAAACTGCTCTACTTTCATAATTTTCAGTTGGCAATTTTACATAGGAATTTGCTAAGCAGCCACTAATAACTGTAGTAATTAGTAATTTTTGACTAATTCATTTTTAGAGAGCTCCTTTTAAGATTTGTGCTGTATAGAAAATATGCCGCACTAAGACCGTTCAATTTTCAAAGTCGACGATTTTTTGTAGACTACAGAAAAGGCAAATGCACCAAACAGCATGTAGGAAAATAGGAGTTCCAGAAAAAATTGCAAAAATTTTAAACTTGGAGAATTCTGAATGTTACACAAGGCATTGCTTTAGGAAATCGTCAGTCAGTATGTTAGCGGAAAACAGTAGCGATCTCCTTACCTTAAAAAACATTAGGGGCTGGAAATCTTCAGCAGTATGATGAACAATCAATTACCAAGAAAAGTTAATTTCAAAGCAGGTATTCAAACCAACGGACAATGATTCTTTATCATCATCCTATAGTGATTTACTTAAAAATATTTAATAAAAAAAAATGCAGAGTTAAAAAAATAATTGATTTATTTTGGTTCAGTAGCAGTTCTTTTTTAAACAGAATCTATTTTTTTATACAAAAGTTGTCAAATTTTATAGAAATTAAGTTTTCTTTATAAATTGCGTAAAAATTTCGACTTCTTAACAAACAAAAGACCGAAAATGCACTTCATAAGTTTTCTTAGCAGACAAAAGAGCGTCCTGCAAGCGAATTTTATAATCTTGCTTCAAGAGGCAGAAAAATCACTATTGAAGTTAAACTGAAATTTTGCCACACTTTATTAGATTCAAATCGAAAGTTGCTACGATAGAAGATAGCATCAAAGGATCTGACAGATAATGGTTCTGAATAAATGTACATACATTCCAATTATTTAATATTGTATTATAAGCATTAACATTATAATATACTGTTTTAATAAATCATTATTAGAAATTTTATTTCGACTAGTTTTCTTTATAAACCAATCGTGGTTTTTTGTTTTTACATAATTTTAAATAAAATAATGTGTAATTCCAGAACCTTTTTAATGAAATACCCTAAAGCAACACTCTTGTCCATTAAACTCCATCAGATTAGGTTAACAATAAAAAAACAAAATTGTTTTTGGTTTCTGATAAAAATAAAATATTCATTCATTTATTATGATTTTCGCTTCATATTTTCAAAACCCTAAAAACAAAAATCTTTTAAATATTTATGGTGCACTATAAACCATGGTTTATATTATTATAAAAAATAATAATTTAATTATACACTGCCCGTCAAAATTAACGCATAATAAGTACAAAAATTCTAACTCCAAAACGCCTTTACCAATCTTATAAAATTTTGGATAAAAATACTTTAACTTATATCTCAGTTTACGTGTTCAAGGGTTTTTTGAAAAAATATCCTTAAAGCCCTTTTATTTAATAATAAAAAAACGCTTGAAAAAAAAACTTTTATAAGGAATTCCTTTTTAAGTAAATAAAAAATATGCTGTGAAATGCCGTATTTTTGTAAGTATACCCTGAAAATGTTGTACAAATCAAACGAACAGTAACGAAAATACAGCGCTGCAAAGTCGTAAAAAATGACCACTTTTCAGCAAAATAATCAAAAAGGGGTCACTTTTACCGACTTTGAAGCGCTGTATCTTCGTTACTGTTCGTTTGATTTATACAAAATTTTCAGGGTATACTAACAAAAATACGGTCTTTAAAAGCATATTTTTTTCCCTAATAGTTATTTTTCAAACGTTTTTTTATTATTAAATAAAAGGGCTTTGAAAATATTTTCTCGAAAAACCCTCAACACGTAAACTGAGAAATAAGTTGAAGTATTCTTATACAAAATTTCATAAAGATTGGTAAAGGCGTTTTAGGGTTAGAATTTTTTACTTATTATGCCTTAATTTTGACGCGCAGTGTAAATAATAAAAAAAAATATTTTCTTAATAACTTTTTAAGTTTCTGGTATTTTAGGGTTTCAAAACAAGCAGAAAAAATTATAATTTTTTTTTCTAAGAAATATATAAAAATATATGTTTTCCTCTTTGTAACTCTATCCGGGGACATCTTATAACTATATACCTATTACCTATATTATAATTATGACGTTCTTGTGATTTTTATCAAAAACAAAATTTAATTTGAACTATTAAATAACTTGTTTTAATAATAAATATTAATAAATTTATATATTATTTGAACAAGGATTTTTTTATATAAATAATAAATATTACATAAAAATAACAACGAATTTTTAATGTATCTCGTTTCTATTAAAAAAGAATGGATTTTAAAATAATTACATTTATATATTTTAATAAAATTGACCTGATTAATTTTATTTTAATTATACAATTTTTAAGTGTATGCCAACCTACAATGACTGTTTATTTAAAATTAATTTACTTACTTTTGCAGTTTTGGGACGATAACCTCGGCGCTGGACCTAAAACAAAACGGCAATTGTATTACATAGTAACGTGAGAATTTACGAGATAGGTTTAATTTGCAAGCGAATTTGCAGATTTGTTGTCTACTCATCATTCCAAAAATAAATCCATACATAGTAGTAAGAAACTGTTTACAAACATTGTTCGTGAAAATGTTGTTTTTAGAATCTGAAACGTTGTTAAAAGTGTTTTGTAAAGATATAACTTTTATGTTGAAAATAAAGGTGTAAAGTGGAAACTAAATCAACAAAATACTCAGTTATAAGACATTTTGTTTTAACTAAGTAAATGAAACAAGTTTTAAACTTTAAAAGGCTTTATTTAAAAAAATCCTTTATTTAGAGAAAATAAAATTATATTATTTTTAGGATAAGATATCAGATAGGTATTACGACATTGTCAATTTATAAGAAAAACAGTTAACCAATAAATATTGGTATAGTGAAATTATCATTATTCGTCCGATAAATTATATATTTATTTATTCAACACAAGCAAGAAAAATGTAATTTCGTGGGCCTGCTGGGAGTGGGAGAAATAATTTACCTATTCCCTGAATGTTCATTTCGAAATACTATTTCTTCCAGTATAAGGTTATATGTAATCCACGCTTATTTCCAAGTTTTTTGTGAAGCGTAAGTTATATACAGGGTGAGTTTTAAGTTGACGGGTTCCTTTTAACAGCTTGTAGAAATCAGATAGACAAATAAATATTTTAAGTAACTTTTTTAACAAAACTCCAAAATAAGAGGGTTGTAGCCCTTCAAAGTTTAATTAAATTTTGAGCCGGTCCTGGCTATTGTTAACAAAAAACATAACCATAAAAATAAAAATGACATTTAGCATAAAAAAAGTTTTTTTTGTGCCTCAATTATTGTTAAAAAATGGTTTATAATTATAGCAATAATGAATTAGTGTAAATGTTACTAATTTATGGAGAGTGTCGTCAAAATCGCGATTGTACGCCAATCGTTTCGTTGACATGATTTATCCGCTTCATGTATTTTCACTATTTCTGTAGGCATTGCTAAATGTGTCATTTTGGTTTAAATGGTTGTGTTTGTTGTCATAGATGACATTTTGCATAGTTTATTTTATTTTTATGGTTATGTTTTTTGTTAGCAATAGCCAGGACCGGCTTAAAATTTAATTAAACTTTGAAGTGCCATAACTTTCTTATTTTTCAGTTTTAATAAAAAAGTTACTTAAAATATTTATTTATTTCTACACGCTGTTAAAAAGAACGCGTCAACTTAAAACTCACCCTATATAACCTTAAAACACAACAAGTATTGGGGGAGCGAACTGACAAACAATTTTAACCTCACTTTTTTTAATTTTAACTTAAAGCTAACTGCCTAGTAGTATACTACTATATACCACCTATATACTATAGGTGGAGTATCATTTCACCGACGCGTCGCGAAGTTAGGAAACAAACAATTAGGAAAAACATTATTTTGCATAAACTCAGTAGCGCCACGTTAAATATTTCTTACATAAGAAGGTGTAAGAAGCAAAAGGGTACAACTTCTTTTTAGCAAAAACTTTAAACTCTACTTCTCTTTTTGGAACTTGTTCCCTTTTGCTTCTTACCTCTTCATAAACTATATTACATATCAAGTGGCGAAAGGTGGCGCTTCACTCGTGTAGCAACACACTCTTTAGAAATCGCCGCCACGAGATATGTACACTATTTTTAATGACAAGCGCAACAAAATTAGACTTTCGCTGCCGAGAAAAAATCATTTATTTTGACACATTTCTATACATCTTTGAGAGAAGAATAGTAAAGTTAACGCATAAACAAAAGTTCAATCGTACTAATCTAAAACATTCGCGTATACAGCTGATTTTTTTCAGCTGTAGTCGTCTGCTATCCCTAGAAATCAGTCATTTTTGCATCGCTGAAATGCCAGCGAAAGTCAAATTTTCGCTGCGAGTGTCATGAAAAGTTTATTAACAGTCCAATTATTGGACAAATAGACACTCTCTCGCTATTTTATTTATTTATTTTACAGTTTTTAGCTCCATTTTTAATATTATTATTGAGAACATGTAATAATTTTTTCTATGTAGAGCAAAGTTTGAGAAAAACTGTGTGTTCGTATTCCAATAATTTTAATCAAAATAAACAGTTTTTATTAAAGTTTTAGTACTTAAGTGTTTCCCATGTTTTCGCAAACTGCAAGGGGATTTCTTTTGCAAATAAACACAGACGATTTTTTTGCACATTGTTTCTTGTTATTTGACGGCATCTTGCTGAAACATGGTTTCGCTTATACAGTTATTGTAAACAAATAAAAAGTGACTAAACCGGGGAGAACATATCGTAAATTACAGTCGCACATGTGTCTGCCGCGTCTCCGATGCCTTTTGAATATGTCAGCGAATTTCCTTTGAAATATCTCAATGCGCCTTGAATATGTTAATGTGGCTTTATTAATTTGCATTATTCTCTATTCCAAACTTAACTGGGTTTCACATTTAATATCAATATTTATTGAAAGGAGCAGGTATATTTCACTTCTAATGTTATTAAAGGAATGTGGTGATGTTGAAATAATGCATGAATGCATGTAGAGTACAAATTGCTATTGACGAGAATTATTAGTGGCTGCTTTTTCGCTACGACAATTAGTCATTTTTGAATAATTTATTTTTAGAGAGCAGACACTCTTATATTATAATATAGCCTACTAAGACAACATAAGGCAACTTAAAATTTATTTAATAAAAGTTTGTTCCCACATATAAAATTTAAAAAAACACCATTTTTAATATCACCTAAGAGTATCCCCGGCATGTTCTATGCAATTCAGTTCGCCTGAGGCTGGTAAGGACAGACGCTCAATTTGGGCATTTGGTTGAGGACAACACTAGCTATGTGCGGTCTAGTGTTGACTTCAAAAAATCGAAAATTTGGTCCCAAATTCCATCGTAAATGTTCAACAATGTTCACAGTGGTCCTCGACTAGCCATGGGTTGTATGAAAATGGCACCAAAAAATAGGCTCAGATATTAGTAGGCATATCAAGGTTACAAAATACTTTTATTTATGTTCATATTTTACCCTTGTTTTAAATTAATTTTAAGAATTGGCACATAATTGTAGGCCTCAAAAGTTTACAAATAGGTTCATTGATAAGTTGGAACTGAAATATTTGATTAACTTGTCAGTTGTCAGCCTAGGTTTGGTCTAGGGTTGTCAGTTACTGTTTGCCTTAAAACACAAATTTAATAATTTTTGTCGGTTTTATTGTTACTTTTATGATAAAATGAACCCTATTGAAATTGTAAGCAACCATGAGCAAAACAAAAGAAAAGTTTGCGCAGCATTTGGGCGGAAAATTATTATGGGTAAAACAAAATCGTCGAAATTTTTAATTTCGGAATCCTAAGTTCCCAATTTCAATTTCCATCTGCAATACTTGCGGCATGGTATCCCAAAATTTAAAAGCCAATTATTATGTAAAATTGTCTCCTGAATCCGAAAATACCGTCAAAAATTATGAAAGTGGAGCAGTTTTTGAGATATAGTCAATTCCATATTAAATGGAAAATTGACTAAATTTAAAAAACTGTTCTACTTTTTTAACTTTTGACGACATTTTCGGATTCAGGGGACAATTTTACATAAGAATTGGCTGTTAAATTTTGGGATACCATGGTATTCCATGGTTAACCATGGTACAAGTGAAAAAGCAGCCACTAATAACTATTAAATTAGTCATTTTTGACTAATTCATTTTTAGAAAGCTGGGCTTTCAAAGTCTCTTAAATTGCACGTTATTTTGGAACATATTACTCAATCCTTGCAGTTTCTTCAAGAAGGTGGACTTGGTTTATGGTCAGAGCAAGCAGGAGAATCTATTCATGGAGTTTGTCAAGTACTGGAACCGATATTAAATAAATCTCTTACAAGATCCTTGCTATCAAATCCAGTTAAAGAAAGCTGTTGTTGAGTTCTCCCCTAGACATTTGTAACAAATATTAAGTATATGTGAAATTGGTCAATGACCTTTTTTCACTGTAAAAATAAAAAGTACTTGTATGAATCTTAAGGCTATGTAAAAATGCGAAATTGTTACATTCATAAAATAAGTTAATGATCAGCTACGGTTTTACTTGATGAATTTTTGCAATGCTTATAGATATACCTATCAAAATCCGAACTCATTTTTTGGCGCCATTTTGATACAACATAAATGATACTATTGCATAAATTTCACCGGTCATGCTACGGTCACAGATGTAGAGCTCTGTTCTACCTCATAGAAAAAAAACAAAACATACCATTATGGCCCACCTTGATACGCGTGAACTTCCTGCACATAACGTGGATTTATTCTTTCAATTGAAGGTCTCTAGACTCGTACTAACCTTCTATCACTATAGACTCCGGATATGCTTTCACACAGTATTCCACTCTTCATGTCACAATTCTCTTTCCTGACGCCAAGCTAATCTCGATGCACGATGGATTGGCGGGGGGGTTGGTCACCTTATGGGTCTCCTGTCCCACATCATTTAGCCGATTGAAAACTGTCCTTGGGCTTATATAACGTCCAGTAGCCAAAATCGGGTCTTGTATGAAAAGTGTGCAGTTTTTTATTGGCTCCGCTTGTGCCCCTCTGATTAATAATCTGTTTTTCCGGCCAGATATGACTCTTGGTCGACCTTCTCTGGGTCGATATTGCATATGTTCAGTCTCTAGAAACCGTTGATAGAGTCTGCACACTACGAATTAATCAACATTAAATGCAACGGCCACATCAACTTGTCTTGAGCCAGTCTGAAGCATTCCTACAGCACGATTTCGGTCATCTTTCGATAAATGATTTTAATAAAAGGCAGTACACGTGAATTTTTTACTGAGTTAAAATTAAACTAAATATTTAAGTATCGACTGATACCCATAAATTGTTTTGTTAAATTTATATTTTGGTCGAAATACTGTTAACTTTTTTCGATCAGTTTATATGAGAAAAGAAAT